CCATGGAGGTACTAGCTCCGCTTCTTTCACTGCGTTTTTTGTATTTCCGCTTGTGTTTTTTTTTTTGTCTCTCTATTGTTCTCCAGCACTTTGCGCAGCAAATCAAAGACGAAAAAAACAAGAAGCTAACGAAAAAAACATTTTTTTTAAATATATTTTACATTATAAATATGATTGTGCTGCATGAATTCTTAAGTGGCCAAAAAAACAAGCCATCCTTTTGTGGCCATAACCAAAGATGGTCAACAGCTGTTGCTGTTGCTTTTCGGGGCTTCCTTATGCGTATTTATTATGTATGCCGTTAAATTGGCAACTTTGTTTCGTGTAATAACCCCAGCGCATAACTTTTGTGCTTTATCAGCTCGCTGTGCATTGGAGTTTTCCAAGAAAAGACGACCACTTGAGGCCATTGCAATTGGTATCAGGGTATCAGTGGGCTGAGAATCAACAAGCGATTCCCCGCCGATAAGAGCAGCTGCCTCCAAAGCCTGATAAGCGAAAAATCCACCTCAGCTATGGCTTCTTTATGGCGTTCAATATCATTATCCACTCAGCAATGGATCTATCTCTTTTCGAATTGGAAACGTGTCATTCTGGATTTCACGTTTCGAACTCGTATTTAGCCCGAAAATCCAAAGCAAATTGTCATTGGCTAACGGACAGCGGAAAAAATGCCCCAAAACACGTTTCCAGAGCTATGGCCACCATTTTTTCATTTTTTTTGCTGTTCATTAGCCAAAACAAAAAATTATTTATATAATAATACATATGTGTATCTGAAAGTGGGGCCAAGTCAAAGACACGTACGCCTTCGGTTTGGAATAGTTAACTAATTTTTAATTTCTTGCTCTGTTTTTTTGTTGTGTCTTCTGTTTTTCGTTTTCCTATTTTTTTTTTGGCATGATCTCATCGAGCGAATGTGTTTGTGAGAGGCGGCAGCCAATCCCACTTTGGCTCATTATGCGAGTATCTGTGAGATACATTTGCTGTGTGGAGCTTGCTGATGATGTGCTGCCCACTCGATCATCATGGTAATGATCGCCAAGAGCCCAGCCAACTGACCAGTGGGCCGAGATACTTTTGTATCTTTTCATTCCGTTCGTCGCTGCTCGCTGTCTTCTGATTTGCTGAGGGCCATTTTGACGGGTCTTGCGAGTTGGCGTTGTTAATGATTTCAAGAAAAAAAAAAACAATTTCGACTATCAACTGTACTGTCTCTGACAAAAACATCTTAAGCGATGAATAATTCGTAAAAGAAGCTAATTTCAATGGATAAGAGCTAAAATTCCACAGAAACATTCGTTTAAGTTGAAAATATATCACAGTTTCTGTCATTAAAAAAAGGAAACATTTGAAACAGATAAGAATTTTACACAGAATATTTTTGTGTTTCAGCTTTTCTCAGAAACTCTATCTAGGCGATATAAAACAATTTCAAATATTCCGATAAATAAAGCTGCGCTTAAGGTTGCCATTCAACAAGTAGAGGAGTTTCGACACTTAGCCAAACGCTTGCCTTAAATGCGCAGCAACGGGCCATTTAATTTAGTCGCTGTGGCTTTTTTTTAGTCACTGCCACTAACTAAGAGAGCAGTCAGTCGATGGATGGCTGAGTTAAGCGAGAGCGTGTGAGAAACACCCTGTGAAAGTATTCTCGACTCGATTATTATTATTTGCCATTGGCACATTCGTATCTGTATCTCGGTATCTCGGAATGCGAGTCGCAGTCGTCGAGCCGAAGCGCACACACGAAGCGTTCTCTCCCACACACGGTCGTTTGTGTGCGAGCGAGACGCGGTGCGGCCAGAAAGAGAGAGCGCGTGCCGAGGTGGCCGACGAACAGCCAACAACCCGAGTGCAACTTCAGAGCAACTTCAGTTCTTGAACGGATGTCGAAGGTGGCGGAGCTGACGTCGCATGCTCTTCGTGTATATACATAGTAACCCCACCATCTCGATATAGTACCATACTCCCTAGTGGTTCCCAACTTGATCTTAAGTCCCTCACACGGCACGCTCATTCTTTTTTTTATCGCGAAAAAAGGCGCGCAAAATACACAATAACGATAAAACAAAAAACAAAAAACAAAAAATAAATGTGAATTTAAGGAACGGCAAAAACAACAGCCAACATACTGATAGTCGCGCGGCATGAAAACAATGTACATATAGTTACGATATGCGCATTAATTTATCGCCCGTGCCAGAGCGACGATCGTGTAGTGCCCACAATTAATTGCCATTAATTCGCAAAAGTGCTAAGAATTCGCGACGGTGTGTGAACTGCGAATACCGCAAATGTACATATATCTGAACAAGTGCGATCGTAAATACACACATGCTGATTTAAAGAAATCCCGTAAATTGAGCAGGGATTTGGTAATATCACACCCTCATACTTGTCACACTTGAAACTTATCAATTGTCCAGTGGGCCATCCAATTGATTAGGACCCGCATCCCAAACCCGAAAAAAACCAAATTCATAAACCACACAAAACGACCAAAAAGTATTCACTGGGTTCTGACAACTGACAGTGCAAAAATTAAAATAAACCCCACAAACATCGAAAGACCGGAGAGAAGCCAAAGTGAAGTGAAATCAATTTTAATACAACTGCAAGTAGCACCAGCATAAGGGGACAACCATTCCAATCAATTGAGAGCTGATCCCGCAGATTTGCCTAGTCCAGAGTCAATGACGTGCACTTTGACCAGCGAGGTGGAGTTTCCGTTTTTGAGTACCGATCATTTTGAAGCGAAGAAATGCCGCCCTCTGCGTTTTTAGTGAATGCCAGCATAATCAGTGCCGCCAACGCCTTGGACAGCGATAAGGAGCATCAGCTCCAGGAGCATCTCAATCAGAGCCACTTCCACAGCAACACAACCAGCAGCAGCAGCAGCAGCATTAACAATAATTGCCACACGGCGCCCAACTACAACATGGTCCTGCAAAGCTATGAGAACTATCCCAGCTACCATCTGGCTCAGCATCATCATCATCATCATCACCACAGCCATCACAGCCATCCGCATCACCAGTTGGCGCAGCAGGCAGGACTGCACGGCCATCACACGATGCAGCAGCAGCAGCAGCAACAGCAGCAACAGCAGCAGCAGCAATCCCTACTCCTGCAGCACTCGCAGCAGCAGCAGCACAGCCACCAACAGCAGCAGCAGCAACAGCAGCAGCAACACGGATACGGATCATCAGGCCAGCTGCCCCACCATCGCTTATCCGGCGGCAGTACGGGCAGCACCACCACCACCTCGTCCGGCTCCAGCTCGAACGGCTCCTCGTCGAGCGCCTCCTCGCAGGGATTCGCCACCGGGAGCGCGACCGCAAACCATCTGGTTGGGGCATTGAGCAGCTCCACGGCTGCTTCGCTGGGACTGGGGTACTTCAATGATATGGCGCCCTTTGTGGGCGATGCGAATGCCTACTACACCGACTCGGATGTCAACTTCTTTAGTTCAGGTACAGGTCAGCAAATATTTACCGACATCAAAAACGGTGCTTTTAATTACGATTGCGCTGGGGTGTGAAAAGGCAGCAAACCAGAAGAAGACGCGTTGCGGTGGCATAATTAAATTCGTAATTTGTTTTTAAGTGTTTGACACGCAACAAGTCGGGGTGTTCGAGGGGAGGGCTGGCACATACACGCAGAGAAAAAATTGTGCAGCTGGTTACTAGCAAATAATGACAGTTAGTTTACTCTTTAGCTCACGAAAAATTCTAAAATGAACTTTGCCTGTAAAGTGACGCATCTTACAACATTATTTGCTTTCGAATCACTAGTTTCGTTAAATTGACTAAATACACCTTTTAGAACCCAATTTCGCTGCGTGCATCAGATTGAGCTGGGTGATAAGTGGCTTGTTGAGCGCTAGAAGATGCCCTGCGACCGGCCCCAGATGTATCTGGCAGATACGGATGCTCTTGCGCTCTCCGGAGGCGGCACCTAAAGAGGCGCTGCCAACTCTTTGGCCAGCCAACGGGGGGCTGTATCTGTATCTTGTGTCGCTGTATCTGCGAGCGAATGGGAATCGAAACGAAGCGGCTGTGAAAGCTTTTTATTTCTTTGCTGTGTGCGAGAGGGACGGCTAGAGGGCCGCGCGCGTGTGTGTGTGTGTGTGTGTGTGTGTGGGCATGGGTATGGGCCAACAGGTTTTCGTATCCCACAGATGCACGAGTGTACGTGCATACATCGAAATGTGTTAAATTTCGCTGTATTCGCAATTAATGTAGCGTGCACACCATTAGATCGGGGTTGTTGTGCCTGTGTGCGTGTGTATCTGTGTGCCTGTGGCCTGTGGCCTGTGCTTGTGTGCGTGTGCGCTGTGATTTTGATTGGTTTCCGAAGTCTTTCGCTCGATTGAGAGACGCCCCATTTCTATGAAGACCATTTAATTGAAGTTGCGAACAATCTGCAATCAATGTGTTTTGGCGTGTGAAAAATGTATCTAGCGGTTTTGACGGCGCGTATTTCCCACGATAAATTAGTTGCTTTCTAAGATTTTCCTATTAACTTGAGTTTTCTTATATATGAATGCGAAACTTGGACTTCGCTGATATGAAAATAGAGAATTTAATATAAATATATATAAATTTGAATTTCTTAGAAATGAGACGTTTCTTTTTTAAGTTCTTAGAATTTCGATCACATCAATGCGATTATCATATGAGTAACCACACAAAAATTTGACGTTTTTAAATGCCAGTTAAACATAATACATAAACCAGATAAAACCAGATAATATATTCCAATTAATTTCAATAAACTAAAATGAATAGTTCACTTTCTTTAAAGTAGATTTTCAGGATCGTTTACTGAGTTGCTTAAAATATATGTAAGCATGGGCTCTCTAACTGAATTGCTTTGATTTTCTAAATAGTTACATATTTCATGTCCACTGATTATACCCTACCCATAGCCATAACATACCCATATCAATAAAAATGTCTAATCCAATTACCATCTCTTTTTCGTATCGCTTGCAGGCTACAACACCAGCAACACTCACGACCGCATCAACAGCAGCCCGCCCCCGCAGCAGCAGCAATCGCAGCAGCCGACTGTCAATGGCAGCGGCAGCGCCAGCAGCAACAACAATAGCTCCATGCTACCGCCCGCTGTCCAGCAGAGCAGCAGCAGCAACAACGAAAACAACAACAACACCAGCAGCAGCAGCGGCAGCAGCAACAACACAAACAGCGGCAGCAGCAGCAACAACAATAATAACAACAACAACAGCGTTGGCAACAACAATGCGAATGCGGGCAGCAATAACAACAATAATAACAATAATAATATTAACTACATGGCCACCATGGCGGCAGCGGCGATCTTTCAACATCACCTCAAAGAGGAGCCAGGCACCCAGAATGGCAATATTGGCGGCTATGGCGGCAGTAATAGCCAAAACGATCCCACGGATCTCAGTAGTTACGGTTTGCCCGCCCACCTGGCCGCCTATGGGGGTGGGAGTGGCAGTGGGCCAACCGGCGGCAGGAGCTCCGGAGGCGGCGGCGGCGATGAAAGCGATTATCACAGCACGATCTCGGCGCAGGATCACCAGAGTCAGCAATCGAGCGGGGGAAATGGCAGTGGTGGAGCCAGCGGCGGGAGCACCGGGAACAGCAACGGTTACATGGACAGCAGCTCGGAGTTCTATAACACCTATGCGGGCAGGAGTCGATTCCACGATGGCTATCCGCCGGAATTCGCACCCTATGATGCCCAATCCTTCCAGTCGATGGGCCCCCAGCCCACGGCCATGGATCAGTGGGGAGCAGCCCACGCCCACCAGCATCCGGCAGCGTACATGAGCACCTTGGGTCTGGACAAGGGCCTCCTGGGCGGCTACACGACGCAGGGCGGTGTGCCGTGCTTCACAGGATCGGGTCCCATTCAACTGTGGCAGTTCCTGCTCGAGTTGCTGCTGGACAAGACGTGCCAGAGCTTTATCTCGTGGACCGGCGATGGCTGGGAGTTCAAGCTAACCGATCCCGATGAGGTAAGACTTTTCGTAATATATAACTGCCTTTGAGTACCTGACTTACACCTATCTATCTCAATCAGGTGGCTCGTCGTTGGGGCATACGCAAAAACAAACCCAAGATGAACTACGAGAAGCTGAGTCGCGGACTGCGCTACTACTATGACAAGAACATCATCCACAAGACGGCTGGCAAACGATATGTCTACCGCTTTGTCTGTGATCTCCAGAATCTAGTTGGGTAAGTAGTCCACATGAGAAAGAAGATCTCAAAATCCTTATTAATAACACTCGTTTCCATTTACAGGCACACGCCCGAGGAGCTGGTGGCCAAGTATGATCTTAAGATTGAGAAAAAAGATGTGGATTAGCAGCGGAGCAGCGGAGAAGCTGCCTAAAACGGGAACAGCTCCAGGTGAACTGTGCTCCCAGCCACGGATTGTACTCAACCAACCGCAAAATACTTTCGAGCGTTATTGTTTACCAAGCGTGATGTTAGCTTTTAAGCAGCAAACCCCGATCTGCGCTCTTGCAACGAGATTAAAGTGTTGGCCAACCCAAGTCCCCAAATGTCCCGACTCCTCCACACAAAACACAAATAACAAACAGCAAAAAAAAAACCCCGCCCACCAAACTGTCAAATCGATTTGCTTGTAATTACCGTGTAAAAATTAGACTTTTGAATTAATTTGAAATTAATTTAAAATACTTCAGATTTAGTTATAAGCCGATCTAAGCAAGAGAACCAGTTGAGGATGAACCGAATTCAATTTGAAATTCTGTGTGCAATGCGTTGATGTTTCTTCGTCTCACATAGTCTGTAGAAGATGTCAGCTGCAAGGATCGAACGTTGATAGAGGCCATAAAGCATGTGTCCCAAAAGTGATATTAGAGCGCAACAATTTGTTATACTTACATAATCATTTTACCCGCACGGGGCACCCAGAAACATTTCAAACAAAATCATGCATGTATATAGCGATGAAGATGTGTATGGCACATAAGTAGGTCTCTAGTATTTATGTATGTCTAACCTGTAATCTGTGCTACTGGTACAACTAAGTTTTCCACTTCCACACTATATCTTCACTGTACTTCTGTGCGCTTCCGTGCGATCCCAAAAGTTTTAAACGTAAATCGGCACAACAGTTTATCATGCATATGATGGAACATTGTTATCGTGTGCTATCTGTATACTTATAGGCTACTCCTAGATACATAGGATCCATAGTGTCTCCCTAGTGCGTTAATCGACAGTTCAAGAAGTGTTTATTACCTAGTATGTGTGTATAGCTATTAACTACTTAAGTCTAGCTCGTAGATGCATAGCCACGTATTACACCCGTAAACATAAAGTTATATTGATTACATAGATACACATACATTTGTAGAGCAATTTTAAAATATTGTATTTATACAAGCGTACATCGTAATATTAAAGCTATCATTAACATTGCTAAGATAAAAACAATAAAAGAAAACCCAATATGAAAATACAACAGCAATCATAGTTCTCTCTGGGAAATACATCAGTGCTATCAAAATTCCAAGTAATTCTTTCAAAAGTTTTTTGTTTCCAAATTCGATTTGTTTATGTACAATTAACAATTTTTGCATAATGCTGCGTTATGCTGAACGGCTTTTTAAAAGGGTATATCTCCTAATGCCCAGGCAAGGGTTAAAGCGTTATGCACACCAGATGCCCGAGAAGCTCAAATCGGTGGAGACGGACAAGGATCCAGAATTCTCGGAAATGGTGCTGTATTATTACCACAAGGCCGCCCAGACCATGGAACCGGCATTGCTCAAGGAAATGGAGAAGTATCCGCACATGAAGGCGGAGGAGCGTCAGGCCCGTGTCACCGCCATCCTGAATCTGCTCGGTAGCGTCTCCACCTCCGTGGAGGTCAATTTTCCCATTGTGCGCAAGAACGGCACATACGAAATCATCAGTGGCTATCGCTCGCATCATGTACGCCACCGATTGCCTCTCAAGGGCGGTAAGTGTTCACCTTCATCCCATCTATGCGCGAATTCTTCAGCATCGAATGTCCCATCAGGTATCCGATACGCTCTGGACGTGAACGAAAGTGAGGTGAAAGCCCTGGCCGCCATTATGACGTTCAAGTGTGCCTGCGTGAATGTACCTTATGGTGGATCTAAGGGCGGAGTTTGTATCGACCCGAAGAAGTACACGGTGGATGAACTGCAGACGATCACACGGCGATACACGATGGAGCTGCTCAAGCGCAATATGATTGGTCCCGGCATCGATGTGCCTGCGCCGGATGTGAACACTGGCCCGCGTGAGATGAGCTGGATTGTGGATCAGTACCAGAAGACCTTTGGCTACAAGGACATTAATTCGTCGGCTATTGTCACCGGCAAGCCCATTCACAATGGCGGCATCAATGGTCGCCACTCGGCGACGGGCAGAGGCGTTTGGAAGGCGGGCGATCTCTTCCTCAAGGACAAGGAATGGATGGATCTGATCAAGTGGAAGACGGGATGGAAGGACAAGACGGTCATTGTGCAGGGCTTTGGCAATGTGGGCTCCTTTGCCGCCAAATATGTGCACGAGGCGGGCGCCAAGGTCATCGGTATAAAAGAGTTTGATGTTTCCCTCTACAATAAGGACGGCATTGATATCAATGTAAGTGGCCCATCAATTGCGGATGTAATTTTCTACTAAAAAAAACCCATTTTGTTCTAGGATCTTTTCGAATACACGGAGGAGAAGAAGACCATTAAAGGTTATCCGAAGGCTGAGGAGTCCAAGGAGGACTTGCTGGTAGCCGAAACCGATATCCTCATGCCCTGCGCCACCCAGAAGGTGATCACCACCGACAATGCCAAGGACATAAAGGCCAAGCTGATACTCGAGGGCGCCAACGGACCAACCACACCATCTGGCGAGAAGATCCTATTGGATAAGGGAGTGCTCCTAGTTCCCGATCTCTATTGCAATGCAGGCGGCGTAACCGTATCCTACTTTGAGTACCTCAAAAACATTAACCACGTGTCCTATGGCAAAATGAATTCCAAGTCCACATCCGAGCTGATTCTCGAACTGATGAACTCGATCAACGAGTCCATGCAGAAATGCCCCGATAGTGGATTCGTACGTCCATCCCAACCATTAAGTATTACTTATATTAAAATGCTAACTTTCCCTTCAGCCGCATATCTGCCCCAATAAAAAACTCAATAGGATACAGCAATGCACCACAGAGGCGGATATTGTGGATTCAGCTCTTCAAACTGTCATGGAATCTGCGGCACGGGGCATCAAAGAGATGGCTCACAAGTTTGAACTGTGCAACGATTTGCGGCGGGCCGCTTACGTCTGGTCCTCCTTCAAAATTTTCCAGGCCATGGAAAGTTCCGGCATTTCTCAACAATAGTGGCTTTCGCTGAAGTACACATGAAATTCACAGTTTTCAATTGCTTGCATTGTTGATTTTTATATTCAAAAGTTCAAATAATGTTTAAATAAAATATTACTATTCAATCAAAATTAAAAACATGCCATTACTTTTAGTATATTTTTAGGCTTTAATAAAATTGGTCTATTTTATGTTTTCAATACCGTTGAATAAGTTTAAATCTAGAATATCGTACGCCATGACATACAATTCATATCTTATTTAAAGTTTTGATAACCCAGAAATACCGAAACTTTGTAAACACTACGAAAACAAACATACAAACACGAATATTCCGCGCTACCAAACTTATATATAGTGGACCTCAGTTTTGGGTCACTTACCAGGCATTCGCCATGGAGGAAATCAAGAAGTTTGACAAGGTTGCCTTCCTGGAAGGCTACCTGCTGAAGCACAAGGAACTGGGCAAGCGCCAGCGCGAGTACAAGAAGATCCTGTCCTGCAAACTGAAGACCCGCAAGGAGACTATCATCGAGGCCAGCTTTGAGACGGCCATCGACCAGCTGGAGGAGGAGAAGAACGATCTGCGGGCCCAGATCTGGGTGGCCAGTGGCACAACACACAAAAAGCAGAACAACCGATGGCTGGAGCTGATTCGCTGCCATGTCGAGTGCCAGGAGAACCTGTCGCAGGACATCAACTCGCTGAAGACATCGATTTACAACATGGAGAAGGAGATTAGTCGCATGTCCAAGCAGATATATAACCTGAATCGTTTGACCATTCCGGATCAGCAACATCAGGCCTATGTGATGAGGGCCAGGAAAAGGATGACCATTCTGGAGAACTCCTTGGAGGTGGGCGTGCGTCAGGAGTGCGGTTTCACGGCAGCCAATGCGGATCTGCGGGAGCAGCTCATCCGCATCCTGAACCACCGAACCTTCTTCAACGACTCATACACCAAAATGGTGCAGAAGCTGAACAGCGAGAAGAAGTATCTCATAGATCTGATCGAGTACGCTCTGAATACCTTTGATGGCTGCATTGAGGTGTACGAGAAAATTGATCTGTTGGCCAAAAGGGAGGCCAAGGAGCGCGACATGAGACGTGTGGAGATGCAGGGCATTATGCGAAAGGTGGCTGCCGATGGTGACAACACCGCGTTCCTGAACTGCAAGTCCAAGCCCCGCGAATTGGCCGACTTGCAGCCCAAGGAGTACAAGCGAAGGGACGAATTCCGACGGGTGCACAACAAGAAGATCAATCTGTACAACTCGGTGCTGCAGAAGATCCTCCAGTATACAGACTCCAACAACATGGACGAGGTGATCGATAAGTTTCAGCAGCAGGAGAGTCTCTATTACTCGTTCTTCAACTATGCCAACGAAATGAGCTACCACATAACTATGCTCAATAACTCGGTGAATCGCCTGTTTGAGGACATTGTGAACCTGAAGAAGGACAACTCCAACACGCTGCAGGACCAACTGGATCAGATCTCCAACCTGGAGAACAAGGTGCGCACCAAACAGGAATCCAACATGGAGCTGCACAAGGCCCGGGAGAACAACGATGCCCGGCTGGAGAATCTACTACAGGGCGTGGAGACGGTCTGCGACATGTGCTCCATTGATGCCAGTCCGCTGACCAAGCTCCTGGGTGACCACACCCACGTCAATCTGGTCAATGTCAATCGATTCCTTAAGCTGCTCGAAACCAGGGTGCAGGAGCTGACGGCTAGTGTGTATGTGATGGAGCGCCAAGAGGAGGGCCGCTTCGACTATGTGGTCAAGCAGATCGAGAAGATCTGCGAGCTGCCCACCGATCTCAACGACATTGTGCTCACCCAGCAGTGTCCCGAGTGTGCCGAGGGCGAAGCCTTCAACATGGATGAGGGCGGTGATGGTGTGCTCGTCCACACGGTCACCGAGGCCAAGAAGAAGCTGTACGAGAAGGTTACCCAGCCGGAGATGCAGTACCGCCTGCACAGCATCAGCCAGTGTCGTCTGCCGCGATCTCGCCTCCTGGCCGCCAAGCGCAACATGTAGTTTTGAAAGTCACATCACAATGCTTTTGTTTCGGTTTCAAATATGCATATCTAGCATATCTAGGATATCTAGATTTCGAGTCGTGCGATCGTCGTGTTTCGGTTACAATTACAATAAATTGCCAAGTTAACCTTCAGCATACAATTAGTCGTTTCCAACTTATTAATATTAGAAACAGTTTGTTCAATTCATGCTAAATTTTTATTATTAACAACTAAACATATTAGCTACAGATTCAATGGTGCTAGGTTTTTGGAGGTTTTGGTGGAATGCGTTAAATACTTTCGAGCGTTGATGATGGTACGAGCTAGTAGATTCTACGGATTGGTTCTAACTAGGAACTGGTCGCCTTCTTCCCATCGCCCAGGCCCAATCCGCTGATCAGGCCGCCAAGGAAGCTATCTACGATGGGATTGCCACTGCCAACAGCGGCGCCGGGAGCAGGACCAGGAGCTGGTAATGCCGGAGAAACTGGAACAGCGTTGACAGTGCCACAATCGTACATGCGATTCAGCTTCTCGATATCGAAGTCAGAGAAACCATTCCTTTGGCCCATTTTGTCGGCGCCGTTGGCTTTCTGGGGATGCAGAAATGAATACAATTAATCTAGATCCCGGAGTCTTCAGTACCCAGTACTCACCATGGCCAGAATGGTGGGCTGTCCGTTGATGGAGAAGGCGTTCTTGGAATAGTGCATCACGCTGCCATAATCGTAGGGCACCCCAAAGGCTTCCGTGCGGGCGGCCTTTTCGAAGTTGTTCATCGCCGACGACTGGACATTGTTGTACTGGATGGCCACATAGCCATCGCGCTCCATGCGATTCTGTTCGTGGAGGAAGCCCAGGGCGTGCATCAGCTCGTGCATGGCGGTTCCCGGACGGCTGAGGCAGCCGGGAGACTGTAGGTTCACCTCCTGCTTGCCACCCACTCGACCCACGGAGGACCAGCAGCCGGAGTTGTCGCCGCGAATGGAGATGTAATCCCTCTCCGAGCTGCGCTTCACAAATCGAATGCACGTCCGACGATGGTACTCACCAATGGCATTTTCGATAGTGGCCATATC